CCTAATTCTATATCTTAAGAGTGGTTATCTTAAGTGTGAGTTTTAGGTTCTAGATATTTAATTAAGTGTGTCATATCTTAATTAAATTCTAGATTCAAACCCCAAGTTAGGATAAGAGTGTGTAATATCTCTTAAACACCAACTTGGTTTATCCATCCCTGAATTTTCTTCCATTTCATATCCCCCCATTTCTCCTCTTAATCTCACTCTTTTCTTCCACTAAAATACCCAAAAGAACTCCCTCATCAGACCCATATATTTCCAACCCATTCCCCACAAAAGCGCTTTTCTTCCTGCCCAGAATCACTTCAAAATAATCGATTATTATTCCCCATAATCGATTATCAGTTCCATTGGAAACATCTGCAGGCAGTAATAATCGATTATCCCCTTAAGATAATCGACTATCACTCATTCCCAGAAAATCTGCAGCCTTCAATAATGGATTGTCTATTTCTGTTAATCGATTATCACGTCCCCCAGGATTCCTGCAGTCTCTACAATCGATTGTCTCCTACTGTGAGTCGACTATTAGCCCCTCCTGAAGTTTAACGGCTGTTTTGGTTTGCTACCAATTCCTCCGTAATCCCGCCCTCAAATTATCTAAATGATAAGACCCCGGTTTCGGGCCTAACATCCTTAGGCCCTCCAAAGAAATAAAAAATAAAAGGAAAGTCAGGCTCATAGATCTACTAGTAAATTAAATGGGACAGCTGCAGCGATGAACGACCATGGCGGCATCAACAAACGACCACGGCGGCAGACCTACTTCCTTCTTGCGCCTGCGCTAGCGGATCTACTTTTGCCCGGGGTTAGGGTCTTCAGATCTGGACTTTGACGTCTTTCACTCAAGTCGCTAGTTGCCTCCGTCAATTGTCCCTTCCCAGCGACCGGATGCATAGTCTACGACTAGTCGACGATGAGGCGACGACTTAATTACCATGAACATTGGTTATACTAGTAATTGGAAGAGAGTATATTTGATAAGGTAGGAAAGGTTTTTTTTAGTCATTATATTATTTAATGAATGAGATGTGGGTGCATTCCTATAAATGGGTTTGTGTATGGGATGAGGGATATCACCAATCAAAAAAAGCAGCAGTTCTAGCAAGCAATTCCGCATCATTTCTAGCCTAATCAAGATTAGACAAAACATATTAAAGTTGTAAGAAATATGTATAACTAACTTCTTTATGATTGTAATAATATATTGACAACACAACTTGATTCATGTGAAATGAATTTAAGAAGAAAAAAATCTTTTGTCATGAACATGCAATGGGATTGAGCAAAAATGTTGATGTCTGATACACAACACCACATTAGTATCAACAAATCATTTCTTACTATAATTAGTCCCAAACTTCAGACAGCAAAAAGTGGACTCTGAAGGGAACAACATCCGAATTTCACACCAGAAATAACAAAAGCACCATTTTACCTTAGCGAAACCAAGATATTTTGTAGACGATACATTCAAAGCTGTTTCAAAACAAAATAAAGCTGTTAGTTAGTGAGGTCAAAATAACTCGACAGGCAACACTCAATTATACAATGGTTCTAATAAAACTAAAAGTAGACAGATAAAACCTGCAGAACCAGATAGGGAATGAAGCAAAGTGGTGGTTGCATCAGATGAACAAAAAGAACGCAAAAAGGTCCTACAAACTGATAGCGTCATGCTCTGTAACTGGTTGAAACTTCATCTATCTTCTATCTATACATAATATAAGCAATTTCTTTACAAATGTTCCTGAAAAAGCTGACCAAAGCACAGTAAGAATATAAGGGCATACTAATGCTCCATGGAAAGAAACCCATAATGCTGCCAAAACTCGCATTGATGATAACAGAAATCAAATATTTTGAAGTTAAACCCTACCCAAAGATTGGGTGTGAAATCAGCTCGTACTCTCACTGTATAAATTGAACTAAAAATCTTAAATTTTTCACTCAAGAATTCAACATAAATTTTTCTAAGATATATGTTTTCATCAAAAGTACGAACATTGATAAGCTGTGTTTCAGGGCCGGTCCTAAGAATTTAATGGCCTGGGCCGACACAGAAAAAAATGACCCTAGAGGACTTATGCCTAATAATTTAAAATTTATGTTTATGTTCCTAAAATATGTATTTAATCTTTTAATTGGTATTCCCTTGTCCGGTATATTGATATTTTGAGAAATGTTGTCCCGGTATACCTTCCCCTTTTTAGTGATCAGGACTTGTTGGGACTTGCGATTCATATTAAACATCATTCAAAAGAGTTAGTGGATTGACAGACAAATGAATTCTACCATCACCTCACTCAAACCAGATAAAACTCGGGTACCATTTTAAGTAAAAGAACCAAAACTAAAGGTAAAACGAGTGGAAAATAAAAGTCTGCAATATAACGAACAAAAATATCTGCAAAATAAAGGGAAAATAAACGAAAAAGAATATTCTAAAATAATTAACATTTAATATACTCTAAGAATAATCCTAGTTAATATTCTAAAATAATTAAATGAAGAATGAATATGAATTAACAAAATAGCAATTGACAATTATTTATTGCAGTTAGCAAATCTTCCTCCATAGACTACAATTAAAACTAAATACTTTATGACACATTACAACATTAATAAAACTTTACAAACAGAACCTAAACATTTGCAGCAAAATCAAAGTTAAACTGTTAGAGTTACACCTGAGTCAAACAATTGAAGAACATAAAACATTTGCAGCAAAAAAAGCGTAAGACAAAGTTACAACGAAAAATAAAAAATGGCATTAGCCCAAAAAAACTTCCAGCGAAAACCTATAACCTAAACTTCCAAGCAATTCAAGTGAAAAAAGAAAAATAAGAGTATGAAAAATATGAAGTACAAAAATCTTTATTGTAGTAACAGATTAATTGCAACTGCTCTGCAGTCAATTGAAAATATAAATCACCAAACATTCAAGATTTGAACAAACAAATATATAGTCGTTTAAGACTTGAAACTGAGACAAACTCACATACCCAAAACTTCACAACAAAAAAGCTGAAAATCTAATGGGATTGAATTGATAGTAATGGATAGATTTGAACTAAAATCTGGCAGTTTTAAATTTTAATAGAAAAAGAAACCCAGGAGTGCAGAGCTGAAATCACAATCCAAACATTTTCTTTTACTTAGAGAAATTATAATTGAAGAAATCTAACTTGCAATTGTTTTAGATGATTAAATTTCTAAGATAGTATGAGTAAAGGATGTAAAGCCAACGGATAAAACTTATAAAAGAAAGCTGAAACTGAAAGCATGACATTGGAGAGACTCAAGAGTAAGTGAAATACCTGGAGTGCTGGCGGCGGCTGGCGGGAGAAGAACCAGCAACTGGCCGCGAAGGTGATGCTGATTTCCGACGGGTCGATCGAAGGTAGAAGGCTGATTTTTGCGAGGTGTCTCTGATTCCAGAAGGCAGCGGCTCCAGCAACGTATACAGTAGGCTGATTTTTTATTTGGATTTTGGGCTTACGGAGTAATGGGCTTGTTATGTGTGTGTATATATTATATACATCGGTCCGGTCGAGTGACACCGGAAAACAGTGCCACTCCAGTGCCACTGGGTTTTTGGGGCACCTCCGGTGCTCCGTTCGTAAAATTGACGGTTCCTATTCCCCCTAACCCACCCCCTAAACCTCCCACCATACCCCCACCCCTGCACCCCCACCCCAACCCCGCCGTAACCCCCCACAAAATGTGTGGCTATTATGCACCAGTGCCACTGGGTTTTTGGGGCACCTCCGGTGCTCCGTTCGTAAAATTG